AGGGGGAGGGGGAAGGGGAGGAGGGAAGATGGGAGGGAGGGGTGGAGGAAAGAGGGAGGCTGGCTTACCTGACCACCCTGCTTAACGTGGAAACCGGCCCCACCCTGGGACTCCTGACCCTCTCTACCCTCTAACTGTTTTTTCCCCACAGCATCTGTCACCTTCCTACATTCCCGTTGATTCTCTTTGTATAATATGTGTCTCCCTTGTTAGAATGCAAGCTCCACACAGGCAGCAGCCTTTGCCTGTGCTGTTGGTGACTCTGTTTCCTTGGGGTCTGGACCCCTGCCTGGTACACAGTAGGTGCTCAATAGATAAATACGTGGTGAATGAATGAGATTGGGATGGAGAGTCAGAATGGTCGATGGAGACAGGAAAGAGGAAGAGGAGGAGGAAAAGGGGGGAGGGGAGGGAAGGAGGGAAAGAAGGAGGATGGGGGAGGGAGAGAGAGGGGAGGATGGGAAGAGCGGGGAGGGAGAAAGACCAGAGCTGGGATTCTACCCCCCTCCCCTACCAACTACCCAGCAGCAGAGAGGGATAGGATGGGGAGTTCCCAGGGACATGGGACCCTAGGTAAGGCTTCCCAGGAAGAGCAAAGATCCCAAATCTGGAAGCAAATTGCCTCTGGACTTCCAGGAATTCCAGGGCTTGTGTCCCAGCACTCTTGGCAGAGCCCTGGACAGGCTGCAGCTGGTTACACAGGGCCATTCCTCCCAAACATCCATGTTCTGGGAAACACCTAGGTCTCCAAAGTCTGCCGAAATCCTGGGTGGGAGGGAGGGAGGTGATGATTGTATATCCACCTGCCTCTGGGAAGAAGCTGGGGGACCTGCAGGGCCAGGAGGTAGAGGGACAGCCCTGTCTGGCTGTAACCCCATCCCTCCAGCTGAAGACACCGCCACCCCGCTTCCTCTGCTCCTACCCTTCTCCCCAGAGGGGAACAGAGACAGAAAGAGCCAGAGAAGGACTTCCTTTTCAGCAGCTCTATCCTCTGCCAGGGAAGCAAGAGAGGAGTCCCATGTTCCAAAGAGGGAAACTGAGGCCTGGGAAGAGCTGTTTCCTGGCCAGTGATACAGCATGGAGTCAGCAGAGCCAGGTAAGTAGGTCACTGGGGAAAGAGGAGGCTGGGGGCTGGACCCCTGGGTGTGAGGGGGGAGGGGCTGGGGGCCTGGACCCCTGTGTGTTGTGGAAGATGCCTGGGCCCTGGGCCCTCGGGTCCATCACCTTCAGAGCTCTGACAGAAAAATTTTCGAGGCGCATGTTACTCTTGCACATATGGCTTTGGCTCTGTACCCCTACCCCTGGCTCCCTTCCCAAAGTTCCCGTTGTCCACGTTGAGTCCTGGGTCCGCCTCCACAACAGACCAGGGCCTGAATAGCCTCTTGAGGGAGAGACGCAACAGTCTGAGTCAGAAGATGGAGGAGAGGATGATGGGGGGCCGGAGGGATGGGCTGGGGCCCCCAGGTAGGAGCCGGTTACTTGCGTGTTATTGATTCCCCTGAGCCTCTGTTTCCTCATCTGTAAAATGGGAACATCTCAAGTTGTCCCTCACAGGGTAGCCCTTCAGGTTAAGCGAGAGGGTCTGTCCAGCACACTGGAATTTGAGGTGAGTTTTAGCTGTTCCTGAACCAGCAGCAGCTGAGGGTCTGTATGACTGACTCAGGCGGCAACAGGGGGATCCTTGACCTTCCCCGGCGACCTCAGCTCTGACCTGGGGACCAGACCCATCGAGGGAAGGTGCCCAAGGGCACACAGCCAGAAACCTCCTCCACTATCTGCTCTTATCACCTATCCAAGCCTCCTGCGAAAGGGTCTGGGGGCACCAGTGCATCCGAATCAGCTGTGTGCATTTGCTAAAAATAGAGATTTCTGGGTCCCACTCCCATATATTCTGACTCAGTGAGCTCAGGACCCCGCAAATGACTTAAACATATGCCCCACGGAGTTCCCTGGTGGCCTAATGGTTAGGATTCCAGCTTTCACCGCCTTGGCGTGGGTTCAATCCCTGGTCAGGGAACTGAGATCCCACAAGCCCCATATGGCACGGTCAAAAAAAAAAAGCCCCCAATGGTTCTGAAGTGATATTTTCCCCCCCAGGCTCCTATTTCATGCCGACTCTTATTTAACTCCCTTGAAAACCATTTGAGGCAAGTATTATAATCAACTATCCTTCAATAAACAAAAAAAAATCCTGAAATGTTAACAGGTGTCTGTGAGCTAGCACGAGCCGTCTCAACACCCTCTGATATACGGGTTGGGGATGGGTGGGACAGACTTGGGGCCTCCATCATGTCAGGGTCCCAGGAATCATGGGCCCTGGCTACTCTGAGGCTTGGGAGACCGAGGCCAGCTCCAGCCCATGGAAAGAGTATTGACCACAGAGGGCACTTGTCAATGGCGGCCTCTCTGGCTCAGGCACTGTCCAGCTGCTTCAGGTCACTGACGACTGTGCTTGGAATCCGGCTATTTCTGTCTGTGGTGCTGCTGTTTCTCCCAGCCTCCAGATGTGGGGATGGGGGTGCGGGGGAAGGATAAGAAATGATTTCCACTGACTCTGCTGACCCCTGTATCAGCTCACCCCACGTCGTCCGTTCAGCTGCAGAAGATTCTAAGACTCGCCCTTTCTTTACCTTCGCTGTTCCAGGAAAGTGTTCCTTCCTGCCTTCCTTGTTTCTCTATCCCTCTGATCTCTCCTCCCTTTTTTTCTCTCTCTTCCTTTCTCCTTCCCTCCATCTCCTCTCCCTCCCTCCTTCTCTTGTCTCTCCATCGCTCACCTCTCTATATCCCTCCCTCCTGTTTCTCTCTCAGTAAAATTTTCACTGGAATGTAATATACACCCAAACCATTGCACATATCATAAATGTCCCATCAATCAATATTCACGATGTTAAGACACCTGAATAACAAGCACCCAGATCAAGAAGCAGAATGACCCCACTGCCCCCTTCCAGACATCCTACACACACACTTGGGGATAAACAGCATCCTCACTCTACGTCACGTAAATGGAATCGGACAGTGCATCCTCGTTTGTGCCTGGCTTCTTTGCCTCTATGTTATGTCTGTGAGATTCAGCCACAGTTGTGCATGTTATGATTTGCTCCTTCTCATTCCCATAGAGGAGCATTTCGTGGTGCGAATACACAGTGTCTCTTTTCGTTGTGCGGACAATCTTGCACAGGAAGGATCGTTAATAGACCCAATTTACAAGTGAGAAGACAGAGGCTCAAAGAGAGGAAGCCCTCAGTGCTGGGAGTCTGGGTCCCCGGGACTCCCTCTTAGTCACCTGAGAGCTGAAGTTCTCAGTTCTTTA